GGCGCACTCCTGTGTGAGGAGGGGGCGGCGAGCACACACACTCCACATTGCGTGCGCGTGCTTACATTGTCAGATGTGTGCTTTACTATTTCTACCTCTGCAAAGAAACTGAGCCAAGTGCACACCGGTAATTCCAGCACTCAGGAGACGAAGCCGAGAGGATCAGGAGTTCAAGATCAGCCTGAGCTACATCGCAAGACCCTGTCTAAGAAAGAAAAGAACAGCGCCCAAACTCCCCCAGCCCAGTAGTGTCCTGCAGAAGAGGGAGGAAGCACGGGAATGAAAAATAGAAGACAGACCTCTAACACCACCCTGTCTGCCTCAGGATTTGAATGTGTGGGGTTTCCTCTAGTTTAAAAAAGAGGGGCGGGCTGGGAAGGTGGCTCAGTGGTAGAGCGCTTGCCTTGCAAGCCTGAGGCCCTGGGTTCGATTCCTCAGCACCACATAAAGAAAAAAAAAAGCCAGAAGTGTCGCTGTGGCTCAGGTGGTAGAGCACTAGCCTTGAGCTGAAGAGCTGAGGGACAGCAGCCAGGCCCAGAGTTCAGGCCCCACGACTGGACCAAAAAAATAAATAAATAAAATAAAAAAGAGGGGGGCCGGGCACTAGTGGCTCAAGCCTGTAATCCTAGCTACTCAGGAGGCTGAGATCTGAGGATCAGCTCAAAGCCAGCCTGGGCAGGAAAGTCTGTGAGACTTATTTCCAAAGAACCACCAGAAAACTGGAAGTGGAGTTGTGCCTGAAGTAGTAGAGCACTAGCTTTGAGCTGAAGAACTGAGGGACAGTGCCCAGGCCCAGAGTTCAAGCCCCAGGACTGAAAAAAAAAAAGCGGAGGTGGGGGGAGAGGAGGAATATATTAGAACCTCGTTTTTGTGTGTATGCCCATATTAGGCTTGAACTCAGAGCCCTGAGCTCTCGCTTGGCTTTCCCACTCAAGGCTGGTGCGCTACCACTTAAGGCACAACTCTACTTCTAGCTTTTTGCTAGTAAACTGGAGAAAAGTCTCACTGATTTTATCTACCCAGCCTGGCTGTGAACTGTGGTCCTTAGATCTCAGCCTCCTGAGGAGCTAGGATTACAAAAGTGAGCCACCAGTGCCAGCAAAAGTAACTTTTCTTAAAAACTGAACCGAGTGAATCTAATTACATAGAGAGTTGATGGTGTAATTAGGATAATTGCAACACAGAATTATCTCAAGTGGTTTTAAACACTATTATTTTGACTGTGGACCAACAAAACACACGCAGAAACACAGAAGTACCTTTGCTGGCACCGGCCTGAAAGGGAATGCTGGTTATGTGGTATTTGCAAACTAGGATGTGTAGTAGAATAAAGAAATGGAGTAACTAGCTGGGTGCTGGTGGCTATGCCTGTAATCCTGAGGGTCGTGGAGGTACGGCTCCAGTGGTAGGGTGTCATTCTTGTGCAGAGAAAGCTAAGGAAAAGCTTGAGTTCAGGTCCCAGCACTAGCACCAAAAAAAAAAAAAAAAAAAAAAGGAAGAAAGAATTATATTGACATTGAAGACAGAGATTTCCTAACATTAAGACATTAAGGAAAAGCTAAGTATTCTAAATCTGTAATTGGAAAAATAGCATGAATGGAGTGCTTATTATTTCCTGTAGGTTAAAGCATTCACGTTCCCTGTCATCAACCAAGTGGACTGGCCGTGGTGACAGGCCAGCGGCAGCCTCTGCCCGGGGGGAAGCATCTCCCTCTCACCCACTGCACACAAGGTCTGAACCAGACAAGCCCAGGACTTTTTGTCATGCGTGAGAGCAAAAATTGTATGAAAGGGGAAATAAATAGGTCAGCCTGACAGGTCGCTACTGGCCACCCACCATGCAAATAATGATAGGTCTGCGCTGTCTTGAAGCACAGTTCTTGGTGGGTTGTACTCAGTGATGAAGCCCGGCCTCTTTCAGCTGGCATCACGTTCATGATGCTTATCTTCATGGTTAAGTAATACTCCACGGTACCATTGCACCACACTCCCTTTATCTGTTTGCTGACGCTTTGGGGTTGTTTCTGCCTCTTGACTGCTGTAACAAGGGCTGCCACGGACTTCCACAGACAGACACGTCTGTCTGAACACCTGTTCCCGTCTCTTGGACACAGGCCTTGAGACTGGGTCTTATGGTCACCCACGTGTTTTGGGGGGCATAAAACCTGCCCTATTAGTCAGCAGGGATTCCCTGCCCCTGGCCCATCTCCTCCTGCCCGCTCTGGTCTGTGCTGGGCTCACGCAGCAGCACTAGGGCTGGAAGACACCTCAGAAGGCAGGTACTCTGGGCCCTTGACTTACCTGGGGCTGGAGGCTAGCTAACCCCAAGGCCGGCAAGGAGCTCATCAGCTCCCGCAGGAGACCTGCTCTGCTTTTGGACTCCTGGCATTGCCTGGTTATGTGCCTTCCTAACAACCACTTTGTGCAACCGCTGTTCCCTTAGGTTTTGCCCTTAGAAATCTACTTCCAGCAAATCCATCAATATCGCCTGGGTTCCAAATGAGAGCCTAAATACGGACAGTGGGAGAGGGGGCATCTCACTGTGTGCGCCTCAGAGCATAGGAAGCAGCAGGAGCACCTACCCAACGGCCTCACTGTGTCCACGCAGCATGCTTTCTCTGAACCGCTGCCCACTGCCCCCTCCCCAGACCTCCCAAGCAGACATCTCTAGATTTTGGAGATGCTTCCAGTGTCTGCTCCTGCCCACCAGAGTTCACTTCAGGTACCACCAAGCTCCTGCACAAGGCTGCCCAGCTCTCACCCAGGACAGCTCCAAGCGGACCAAAGGCATAAACTGTCCATGTTGCACTAGGACTTCAGTGCTCTCCAGAAGGCAGGAACTGTGATGGCTCCTGTAGCTAAACCTGAAGCATCCCATGCCAAACCTACCTACCAAGAGCATGGGTTTCCCTTTGCGGTCCGCCTGGCCAGCTTCCTGAGCGTCCACTCAACTCTCCTGAGACAGTAAGCTGGGACGAATGAGCAAGACAGTGTGAACTAAAACTCCTAAGCATGTCCTGTCACCATGACTGTCACAACTTGGCTGGCACTGTCATGTTTCCAGGCCCCACCCCACCCATCTCTAACCTCAGTTCTCTTCCTGAGGTCCACAGTAAGCACTGGGGACCAGATCTGCAGACATCAGCCAGGTGTGGAGGGATGGAGATGCACTGGCAGGTTTAGAGGGACATGACACCATTGGACCAGAGATCCCACAAGCCCCAAAGGGCAGGGGGCAGCTAAGTGCAGCTGTGGGGTGGGGACCTATGCCACGTGCTCCTGGAAGAAGCTCATCTCCTCACAACTCAAACCTGGCCTTCGTGTCACTTCTGCCAAAGAACCTAAGTCCCAACTGCTACTGCAGGTGTATGTAACCAGAACAGGTCATCTTTGTCTCTCCACTTTCTGGAAAGCTCTATGCTTTCCTAAATGTTGCATTCTACTTTAAACCATAGATTCTCCCAACTGCTCCACAAAGCAAGACTCAAAGACTCCCCACTCCCCCAAGACACCATATTGTTACTAAAAAGTAGGAAGAACCTTTCCCACCTAACTGGATAAAATTTGTATCCTGCACACACCCAGGACCAACTCTACTAATTGGCCATCAGGTCTAACTCCCATAAACCCAATGATCTATGCTCACAATTACTAAAGTCTAAGAGATAAATTAGAAAATCCAGGCAAAGTAGAAGCATTATATTTTGCAACAATTCCTTCTTCCAATGGGACTTCAGAGTCCCTGCCCGCCCCATGTTAAAGGTGAGCAGCATCCCATAACTATTTCAACATGTACAAGAACGCAAGGTACTTGCACTTACAGGTTACAAACACACTTGCTTTATATTGGAAGTAAAAGGTCTGGATGGGAGGTTTCATCTCTACAATGGGAAAAAGTTCAGATCATACAGACTCCTAAGACCTGCTTCTGAAGGTAGCAAGCATATACGCTCAGTCTGTTTAGGCCAGTACATACAGTAAGCTCTCAATCATGCCCTCTTCCTTGTGACTCCATTTTCTGTCCTGTAGGACAAGGAACCATACCGTCTCTAGACATCCAAGTGTGTGTGATACAAGGGGACACATAACACATATGGAAGTGACACATGGAAACATACTAGAAAAATTTTCTCTAAAAAACTTGGTTACTGCTAGGCGCCAGTCATGTCTATAATCCTAGCCACTCTGGAAGCTGAGATCTGAGGATTATGGTTCTAAGCCATCCATTCCAGGCAAGTCTGACACTCTTACTCCAATAAAGTACTCAGAAAAAGCCAAAAGTGGTGCTGTGGCTCCAGCAGTAGAGCGCTATCCTTGAGCAGAGGCTCAGGAACAGTACCCAGGCAGAGCAGAGTTCAAGCCCCAGGACTGGCCAAGAAAAAAAAAAAGTTGGTCACCATAAGACACTGAGAGAGCTGTCCATTCATTCTGCCTGTGGGGCGGTCGTCTCCCCTTTCTACACTGCTAAAAGAAAAACCCTTTCAAAAGCTGAAGGTCTCATTCTCAACACATCTTTGAAGGCTGGGAGTTCTGACTGGAGCCAGTGGCAACCCCAGCCACCCTCCCCGAATACTGACTTACTAGGCACCCAACACACACAGGGAGATAAAAAGCTAGTCTAGAACAATCCCCTTATGCTGTCTTCTGAGGAGACATTTAACCAACGGGGGTCCCTTTCACCATAAACTTTAATCCTTAAGCTGCCAGTCAGATGTAAAGGTCAAATGTCACCATTACCGACACGACTGCACTTTAAAGCAGCTCTTCCCTAGGGGACTGACTACCTGATGGGACAGACTGTGTTCTGTATTTACACAGCACAACTCGTGACCAACTTCGGTCATAGGTGACAACCCCAACTGACATGAAAGTAAAAGGCAGACACGAGGAGGAACCCACCGAACAAGTTAAATCATCACCAGTGAAGGTAGCCTAAGCAGTCCCGTGGCACAAGCTTTCCTATTCTAAAACACATACAAACAAGGGATGAGCTTGCTTGCTTAGGTACTTGAAATACAACTTTATTCTGATTCTAAACGAAGGGAATGGGAATGACAGTAACAAACAAGGTTTCACCACTGGATATTGTGATGTGACTGTAGCAGTCTTGTCTTTGAAACTCAAGAAGGAAACAACTGCTTTCCAAACAGCTAAGTATGCAAGTCCAAAAAATGAAGGTATTTAACTGCCACATTCATTCTGAAGCCCATTCATCTCCTTCAGCATCCCAAAGATGAAGCACATGTTCTGCTTAGCTAGATAATAAAGTGGCACACGCGCGGCACCGCTGACATCACAGGACAGTTGCCTATAAAACTAGACTTCTGACGCCGGCTCCAGCTTCGCCTTCTCACAGGTCGTCATCCTCATCCGGGAGAGCGGTGGTCTGAGCAACCTAGGAGGAGACAAAGGGCAGCGCTCCAGAGGAAACCGCCATGACACCCGCGGCGGTCCCCCACCCCCACAACAGGCCATACCTCCAGGTCATGCTCGTACTGCGCGGCCAAGGCTGGATCCATGACCACCTCCGGTGGGGCAAGAGCAGGCATGGCGACAAACTCCAAGTTAGGGTCTCCAATGAGCTTTCTAGCGAGCCAGAGGAAGGGCTTCTCAAAGTTGTAGTTACTTTTGGCAGAAATGTCGTAGTACTGTTTGAAACAAAAGGAAATGAACCTTTGCAGTAAGTCTCACAACTGAAGCAGTCACTGAGGGCATTTAAACTGACACATAAATCCCACCCGCCAGCTTCATGGAAAGGGTTGCAACTCAGCATGGCTCTAACGGCTACACACCTGGAGGTTCTTCTTCCGGTGGAAGACAATAGACTTTGCCTTCACTTTCCTGTCCTTGATGTCCACTTTGTTGCCACACAACACAATGGGGATGTTCTCACACACTCGCACCAGATCTCTATGCCAGTTAGGCACGTTCTTGTAAGTAACTCTTGATGTTACATCAAACATTATGATGGCGCATTGGGCTGAAAAACATAGGTATCAAACATTACGATGGCGCATTGGGCTGAAAAGTATTTATAGCTATGGGAGGTTTATCACACCAAGAATGCATGTGGGTGTGCATTAGGCCCAAGTCATCCAAATCTAGCCACTCACCTTAAAGATCTGATGCTAAAAATGCTCAATTATTATTGTTAATACAAAGCATTCACCACCCTCATGCTTCTGTTAACACAATATACGGATTCGAATGCACTTTGTATAAAAGCTTGAACAAGGCCTGGGAAGGTGGTAGAGTGCTTGCCTTGCATGCATGAAGCCCTGCATTCAATTCCTAAGCACCACATACGCAGAAAAAGCCAGAAGTGGCACTGAGCTGAAGAGTTGAGGGACAGCACCCAGGCCCAGAGTTTTGGCCCATGAACGACCAGAAAAAAAAAAAAAGAAAAAAAAAAGCTTGAACAACCTATGTTGCCTACCTCAGTGCTTTTCCCAGTTCTCTAATACTGCCTCACCCCCCAGGTAATCATCAGTTGGCTAGTTACCATCATCAGGAAAGAGAACCTGCCTCTGTGAATGGGTGCCTATTCCTGAAGGGCCTAGGGGGCTGTACCTGGGTTGGCCTCCCTGCTCCAGGCTGCTGGGGATGGCCCACAAGAGCAAGCTGGAGAGCACGCACAGCGCGTGGAGGTTAGTGAGCCCGCAGTACAAACGGGAGGCCCCCAGCTGACTTCTGGGACTCACTCCCACCCGGCTTGACAATGGGAGTGTGGACGGCGGCCACCGCGGGCAGCCTTCCTCCGCGTGGGGCCGCACGGCCGAGGGCCGCGGCCAGCGTGCTCGCCGCCGCT